AGCCTGCCATCGAGCTTCTTCCTCCCCTCTGGCTATATCTCTCTTCTAGCAAAAATCGACTAACCCAAATTCAAAAGTCAGACGACTGACATGTAGCTATTGTGAAAAAATAGAATGCAATTAGGTCATAAGGAAAAAATACCTAATGTTTCAACTCTTTTGAGTGATGAACGTACAGGGGATTCTTAACGACCCAATCCAATCCTCTAGTAAAACTCCTACGAATCTCCTGTAAATGAAGGAAGCCCTAAACTGATTGCATGGCCCGGGCGGCAACTTCCACGGCCGGCACGATGGAGGCATCGACCGGAGACCGGCAGACCGGACACATTCGGTGAGACCAGAGCCACTCGTCGATGCACCGGTCATGGAAGAGGTGCATGCACGCGGGCAGCTGCTTCACCACCTCCTTGGGCCTGACCTCGGCGAGGCACACCGCGCACTCGTGGCCCTCTCTGCCGCCGCAGCTCAGCTTCTCGTACTTGTACACGGGCAGGCCGGCGATGGCCGCCCGGCTCCCGCGGAAGCGCAGTCATGGATGACCGATCCCCCTCTGGATCTTGCAGGAGCTGGTGTTGCGACCTAGCGCGGGCCTACGCACGCTGGCACAACGCCGCGATGAAGAGGAAGACGAACAGGACGCCAGCGATGCGGATGATAATTGGCCAGGGGACACCGGCGAGTTTCAGTATGCCGCACGTCAAGCCCGCGGGAGCTTGGGGATGTGTCAAGTTACTATCTAAGTTACTCCAACGTCCGCATGGCCGCACGTGAGGGAGAGGGGGTGGGTTAGGGGTGGGGGGCGACCCTGTCGCCTCCACCAGAACCACCGCCGCCGCCAGCGCTAGGGGCCTCGCCGGAACCGCAGCCGCCGTAGGTGATGGAACCATGGTCCTCGCGATCGGTCCAAGTGGTGGCTGTCGGATCCGACTCCGAGACGGATCTGGATCAGGAGGTTCAACATTTGGCCCCAGCCAGATGGCAGATCCATTTTGAAGATTGCCGAATGGTTGGGACATGGAGAGATGGATTTCTCTATACACATTCACCGTCACGATGGACGAAGGTTCGAGATCGCGATCACGATATTCTCGCCGGACGGTACTTGGACATAGACGAACGGATCCACACAGGTATGCATTTGAATATCGATGAATTCGAAATTGTTGTTGTTGAATGCGTGCAGGAGAATTTGGGCGGGGAGGATCATATCGAGGTTGTCGATCTAACATCGGAACCAGATGCCCCAATGCCGAAGCCGAAGATCGGAGGACGGTTTTGGGTACTAGCTGACGACGAAGACAAAGACGACGATGATGCCGAGCTTGACTCGCCTGGAGTCTTGCCAATGTCAACCGAGATAATATCTAAGTTCACGGCACCAATCGCTGAATCCTTCACGAAGCTCGCGCCTGGCGAGGGGCGCAAAGATAGGAGGATTGCGGAACCAAGATCGGCGGGTCTCCGTAAGCCCTCGTCGATGAAGATCAAACCTTGGAAAGGACCCCTCCCAAGGTAAATTTGTCACAACCTACTTTATCTGATTTCTTCCCATTAGATGGTTGGACAAAAATTACTCGCAAGAAGAAGAAAAAGGCAGCAGTTCAACCACTGCCGGCGGCCATCGGTCCTTGGGCGATCCGGGCGGCGCGGATGGTGCGTTTGAATCTTCTACTGGGGATTGATGGGCCGGTGGTGGAAACGTCCGGCCTGGGCCCGGGGCGTGCTGGGTATGTGGCCCAGTGTGCGGCCCAGGAATCGGCGGCGGACCCTTCGCCGGGCGGGCTGCATGGGTTGCGGGCCACATGCACGTACGGTGATCACGCATCACAAAATTGCCCGACCAGGGTTTCCTTAGTCGTCGCTAGCTCGAGCAGCAAGGATACGGCCCCTGGATCGATCTATCTTCGTGGCCATGGCCGGTCGTGGGAGAGGCTTGCCGCCGTTGCACAAGGACGCTCTGCCGCCGCCGAAGACTGCTCCTCCGCCCGCCCGGACAGCGCCTCCTCTTCCTAAGGCGGCGCCGCAGTCGCAGCCCAAGCCGGCTCCGCCCCAAAGGGCCGGGGTGCAGCAGCAGCAGCACAGGCTGGCGCCGATGCCTTCGGCCGTGCCGCCGCCGTGCCCGACGGGGCCAGCATCTGTGGGCGGGCAGGCTGCAAGGGAGGGTCGCGGGGCCGATGGCCGGCACCCGGCTGCCCATGGGGCGGCGGTGAGCAGGGCTTCGCCGCGTAGACAGCTCGCGGTCGTTGGGGCGATGATGGAGTCAATGTGTACGGGGATGGACAACATCATGGGTCGTCTGGCGGCGGCCGCGGTTACACATGGCAAAGTGATGGATCAGAGGAGAGTCCGTTCTATGCACCGCCTGGAAATTTTGTGGAGGGGGCTTCTGGACCAGATTATCGGTCCCGAGGAGGTTACCGGGGCTTTCGCGGTGGTAGGGGCCGGGCTAGGCGACCGTCCCAGTACCGGCAGCGTCCCCCTCCTCCACCACCGCAGGTTACCGCCATCACGGCCGAGACTGAGGCCCTTGCTGTTGCGGGCCAGTCGTCGGAGACGGCGGATTTGGTGTAGCCATCAAATTTATCGGGCGAGGCCATGGCGGTGGTCACCACGCTGGCTTCTACCAAGGTCCCGGTACCCTTGCAAGATGGGGTCAAAGGTCGTGAGCATGGTTCTGACAAACTTTCCGACAAGCCGGATGGTGAGAGGGCCGCTAAGTGGGCGCGCAAGAAAGAGAAGATGATATTCTATCATTGTGGTGAGCAAGGACAATTTATTGCAGAATGCAACACGGAGTTGTGTGACACTTGTCTCAAGCCCGCTCATGAATCGGGAGAGTGCCCGGTGTTGCTGCACTAGTTACCAACGGTGACCATGTATGGGGTTTGCTATGCAGACTTGATGTTCTTTGAGTCACCCACTCCGTTTGTTATCCTAGATACACCGCAGAACCTGACTACAGGGCTGGTCAAGGTCACGAAGGGTTACCTGTCTGAGGCGCGGATTATGAAGAGGATGAATGATCTGGCTCCCGGGAACTCTCATTGGGAGCTTATCCGACTGGATGATAATTTATATAAGGTTGATTTTCCGTCAGTGGAAGAGCTAAAGAAACTCCTTAGGTTTGGTATAGCACGCGTGCCAGGTACAGAGTGTTTTCTTGAGTTTGATGCTTGGAAGCAAACAGAACCAAAAGGCACACCTTTGTCTCAGGTTTGGGTTCAATTTTCTGGGGCACCTTCTAAGCCTCTCAATGACGCCAGGGTGGTGTGCAGTCTAGGATCACTGATTGGGAAGACCGAGCGTGTTGATATGCAGTTTACTCGGGCTCACGGGGTGGCCAGGTTACTTGTCGGCGTTCTGGCTATTGAGCATATACCGGATTGAAGGAAATATCCCCTAGAGGCAATAATAAAGTGTTATTTATATTTCCTTATATCATGATAAATGTTTATTATTCATGCTAGAATTGTCTTAACCGGAAACTTAGTACATGTGTGAATACATAGACAAACAGAATGTCCCTAGTATGCCTCTACTTGACTAGCTCGTTAATCAAAGATGGTTAAGTTTCCTGACCATAGACATGTGTTGTCATTTGATGAACGAGATCACATCATTAGAGAATGATGTGATGGACAAGACCCATCCGTTAGCTTAGCATAATGATCGTTTATTTTTTCTACTATTGCTTTCTTCATGACTTATACATGTTCCTCAGACTACGAGATTATGCAACTCCCGAATACCGGAGGAACAACTTGTGTGCTATCAAACATCACAACATAATCGGGAGATTATAAAAATGCTCTACAGGTGTCTCCGATGGTGTTTGTTGAGTTGGCATAGATCGAGATTAGGATTTGTCACTCCGTTTATCGAGAGGTATCTCTGGGCCCTCTCGGTAATGCACATCACTATGAGCCTTGCAAGCAATGTGACTAATGAGTTAGTCATGGGATGATGCATTACGTAAAGAGTAAAGAGACTTGCCGGTGACGAGATTGAACTAGGTATGTGAAGGAAATATGCCCTAGAGGCAATAATAAAGTTATTATTTATTTCCTTATATCATGATAAA